CGCTCTCTCCCCTCCCCGCTCCAGGTGAAAATCTGGTTCCAGAACCGACGCATGAAGTGGCGGAACTCCAAGGAGCGCGAGCTTCTGTCTAGCGGGGGCTGCCGAGAGCAGACCCTTCCCACGAAACTCAATCCGCACCCGGACCTCAGCGACGTGGGCCAGAAGGGCCCAGGGGATGACGAGGAGGAAGACGACGGCCCGGGCAGCCCCCGCCACCGCCTGGTCTATCACGCGTCCCCCGACCCTCGGCACCTGCGGGACCCGCGGCTGGAAGGGCCGCTGCCTGCCTCACCGGCTCACTCCAGCAGCCCCGGCAAGCCTTCGGACTTCTCCGACTCCGAGGACGATGAGGAGGGCGAAGAGGAGGAGATCACCGTGTCTTAGAAGCCCTCCCGTGCCCTGCGTACTGTTTCAAAGTACTTTGAAATTGAAGAGGTGTGATTCAGTCTGCTTGTCCGCTTAGTCCCCGCTGTCCAGACGCTGCCGCTTCCCTTTGCAGAACCTCAGCCTGGTCGAGGGCGCCGCAGCCCCTTCCATTGCCCAAAATGGCGTTTCCTTGCCCCACACACCTCCTGGCAGCTCTCTCCACGTAAGTGAAGTTTAGGTCTTGGTCCCAGCCTTAACTTCCCACCGGAGCTCCTATCTTGCTTATTGCAAGCTATTTAAAACACAGTGGAGTGTTCACTCCTATAGCCTGGGTCTTGCTGTGAGCCAGGCCCTGCTGGTCTTTAGAAGCCACAACTCTGTAAGACAGGAAACTCTTTATGGAGAAGGAAACGGAGTTAGGAGTCACAACATCAAGCATATAACTCTAAGACCTCTGACTTCCCACCCCCCTGTCTTAGGTGGAATGGTCTCCTACCCATGTCGACTCTGGTAACCCTTTCCATAGCAGCTCCCTTAGATATCTGAATTTAAAAAAACTTTTTTTTTTAAAATTTTATACACATATACACCTTCTGGTCTAAGGCACAACATAAATACGGAGTCCTTCCTGTTGTATTCCAAATGCTCTCTGGGCAAAGAAGTGAGTTATTGAGGGAAGAGTCAGTCTCTATTTCTGTATGTGTCTTTCAGAGCTTTTTCTTTTTAATTTCTGCATCCATAGTATATGCACCAAGCACTCTACCTTGTGCCCTTTTATTATTTCTGGGGAGATTACACTGACCTGCAAGACTCGAGCACTGGGCATGACATAAGCAGAGAGAGAACCCACAGCCTCTTTGATTTTGATTTTTTTTTTTTTTTACAGAACTTTGCTGTCTTTGCACAGCTTTTATGAACTGTACACTATTTTGTACACATGTGTTGTATGATATTTTATACCAATGTTATTGTGAATGACTATAAAGGATTGACTAGACTTTTCTCTCTGTCTCTCTCTGCAATGGCTTTTAAACTTTAAAAAGGTAGCTGTTTAATTGCATAACTTATAAAGAAATACTTATTTTGTATTTTTACCTTGTACAGATTTTTATATATGTATATATGTATCAAATGAACAAATGCCAAATAAAAAGTAGAATGGACATAGTGGTCAAGTATATCATTAATTCACAGAATGTCAGAGCTGAAAGGGATGATGAGCTTCTCATCCAAGTGCTACTGGGATTTCAGGAAGGGAAGCTGACATTCGAGAGAGAATGGCACATGTCTAAAGCCATCCAGCTGTTTAGTGGCCGAGCTGGAACTAGAACCCATCTCTGACTCTCAGGCCAGTGCCTTTTCTGCTTCCCTGTACCATCGATAACCACATTTGCTATGGTTACGAGGAAAGGAGCTCCAGTAAAGTGGTACCAACAAGTTGAGTCTGCAGTAATCCTTCTTCTCTAAGGCCTGAAATCATTGAAAGTCAGTTTAAGCTGTTCAAGTTTACGATGGCTTTACTTTCCCTTCTTGAAAGTTTATACAATTTCTATTCCACAGCGAAGCTCAAAATTGGTCTTATCTTTTGTGTGTAAGCTGATTTTCTCAGGAATGTCATCCATAGCCATGACTTGTGGGCCCAGATACAGACTCTGGGGCTCACAAGTGAAACTAAATTTCTTTAAAGACTAGCTTTCAACAGAAACAATTTAAACAGCAACGTAGGAGCAAAAAACATCAGGTAGAACCCTGGTAAAGGCTTCTGTGGGCTTTCAGAGATTGGTATTTGCTGCCTCAGCCACACAGACCCACACTTAATTATCCTAACCCATACTCTAATAGTCGGGGGGGGGGGAATTGTTAAACTTAAATTTCAATAGTTTGTATCCTATCTGAAATCTGAATTTTTCTATTCTCAGTTTAATTCTCTTTCCAAATAACACGAGCCCTCTCTCCATGTAAGGTTCTGATATCTTCCTGTGCTGGGCCTGTTCCTGACACTGGTGATCACTATTTTCATTATTATTTAGAAATGATCCTGAGAACTTGAAAAAAAAATCTTATTGTCATAATTATCTTAATCCAAGAAACCCTCCACATTCCCCCCCCCCTCAACACATATGAAAGCACCTAGCATGGTGTTCTGCCCATGGTAGGCATATAACCTTTTAGATAAGAAATTCTGCTCTGAGTGATTCAGGCTATTTTTTCTCCTTCCCTCCACTGTTGCCTGGATATCCATAGATGGGATCCTGACCAGAGTGGCCCACTTTACCCTCCCTGCTAGCTCAAGCCCACAGTTCTTACTTACAGTCAAGAACTATTTTCAGGCATGGGGGTAGATTAGTGTCTACATTCAAAGTACTTTGGGGGCACCCCAAAGTGGCATTGTTCACAATAGCCAAGAGATATTCACATCTCATCATTCACATCATTCACAATAGCTTCTGCAAAATGTCCACCAATGGATGAATAAATAAAGAAAATGTGGTATATACACACAACGGATTATTATTCAGCTTAAGGAAAGAAATCTTGTCACATGCCAAACATGAATGAACCATGAGGACATTATGCTAAGTGAAATAAGCTGGTAAAAAAAAAAGACAAGGACTATACGATTCCACCTATATGAGGTATCCAACACATTCAAACTCAGAAACGGAGAGTAGAATTGTGGTTGCCAAGGGTTGGGGTCAGTTGGGGAAACAGTTGTTCAACGGGTACAGACTTTCAGTTTTACAAGATGAAAACGTTCTAGAGATTTGTTGTGCAATGATGTGAATACGGCTAACATTACTGAAATGCAATTTAAAAATGATTAAGATGGAAAATGTGTGATTTTTAATTTCAATTAAAACATTTAAAAAAATTTAAATAAACTGGAAAAATAATTCACATGTTAGAAGAACTAAAAGTCCAGTAATGGTCAAAATTATGACCAAATGAAAAAATTCATGGTAAGCAATATTATCATAACACAATGTGAATGCATTGCATAATATAATGTAAGAAGCAATATATGGTGTAAAGTTTTTCTATATTAGGAAAAGTTAATGGGGCACCTGGCTAGCCCAGTCAGTAGAGCATGCAACTCTTGATTTCCAGGTCGTGAGTTCAAGCCCCATGTTGGCAGTAGGGTTTACGTAAGAAGAGACAGAATTTCCTCTTTTCCAGATGGACTCATGGAAGGTGCAGAAGAGAAGAAAAAGAAGGTTCCTGCTGTGGCAGAAACCCTTTAAAAATAGCAAAGGAATTTTGCAGAGTTGAAAATCAACCATCTGAGAAAGAAGTTTGCCCAAAAGATGCTTCGAAAGGCAAGGAGGAAGCTTATCTATGAAAAAGCTAAGCATTACCACAAGGAATATAGGCAGATGGACAAAAATGAGATTCTGTTGCCAGAAAAGCTGGCAACTTCTACAAACCTGAGGAACCCAAATTGACTTCTGTCATCAAGATCAGAGGTATCAATAGTGTGAGCCCAAAGGTTTGAAAGGTGTTGCAGCTCCTTTGCCTTTGTCAGATATTCAACGGCACCTTTGGAAAGCTCAACAAGGCTTCAGATAACTTGCTGAGGACTGTGGAACCATCTATAGCATGGGGGTACCCAAACCAGAAGTCAGTGAATGAAATGATCTACAAGCGTGGTTAGAGAAAAATCAACAAGAAGCGAATTGCCCTGACAGAGAGCACATTGATCGCTCTATCTCCTGGTAAATATGGCATCATCCGCATGGAGGATCTGATTCTTGAGATCTATACTGTTGGAGAATGTTTCAAAGAAGCAAACAACTTCCTACGGCCCTTCAAATTATCTTCTCCACAAGAAGCAATGAAGAAAAAGACTACCCATTTTGTGGATGCTGGCAACAGAGAAAATCAGATCAATAGGCTTCTTAGAAGGATGAACTAAAGTATCCACCATGATTATTTTTGTAATCTGGTCAGTTAATAAAGGACTATGTTCAAATTCGAAAAAAAAAAAGAAAAGAAGAAAAGGGAAACGGGAGAGAAAAAGAAAGAGAGAGAAAAAGAGAGAAGTTAAGAAAACTCAGAAAAGGAAAGAAAAACCACCCTAAGCTTTTTAAAATGTGTATGCTACTCCCTTATAATCACAAAGGTCTACATCTTCAGAACTACAAATGCCATGTTTTGGCTTTTTAGTGTCTCTTTTAGCTGAACCAAAGGACGAGGACCATGCCCGTTTTGCACACTGTTTCCCTGGTGACATGCATAGCCCCTGACACATACTGAGTGTTTGAGTTCTGTTGAGCGAATAAATAAATTACAAGGTGAGACACTCAAGAGCCTAGACCATAAGTCTGGAAGTTATAAATCTTTCAAATGAGTTGAAGGATAACTTAGGTCAATAATTAAGACAATGAGACTAAATAAACTGGTCAAATGTGTTTCTCAAAGTCAAGCCAATTAGCTTAATCCAAAAGACTGAAATAGTTGTATCTCTCCGCTGAAGGAAAAAAAAAATACTAAAATGTGTGGCAGGCAGGCATTCCACTGGGTGCATTCTGCTGAGTGGAGATCTCATCGAAATGTAGATCAGGATTCAGAGCTCTGGGTGTGCAACATGGCTAACCCCTGTTGGTTTACAGAACACACTTTAAGTAGCAACGACTTGATACTCACATGAGTTTTATCCTTGTGGTATGTCATCTAAGGTGGATACTATTATCCCCATATATAGATGCAAAAACTGAGGCTGGGAGTTTGAGTGATTTCCCATGGGTACCTCAGCCAGAATTCAAACTCAGTTTCATTTAACTCTATGACACCATCCTGCTCCCTTGACTAAACGGGTAAAACTCCACCTAACCAAACTCCAACCAGTAAGAACTCTCTATTAGAGCTTTATGCATTTTAATATTCTGAAGTTACTGGGAAAAAAAATCAATGGTTATTTAAAACCTTTATTATGCTCCTAAATCTCCTACTATATCACCAGCCTGCCTCTCTGTGGCCTAAATCAGTGATACTCAAACTGATGTTAAAACTCTTTTATG